ATCAGTGTTCAGTCAGCAGGCAAACTTTTTTCATACAAAGAAGTCGCATTAGCCCCACCTGGGACAATTGTGAAGGCTGTGGCTGAACAGTCACCAAAAGGAAATCCTATTGTTCAACAGAATCCTGAGGTGAGTCCAGAGATAGTTGCAAAAAAGGATAACCATAGTAATGTGGCAAAAACAAAGGCTGCGGAAGATTCTGAACAAAAAGAGAAGGAAGCTGCAGAGGTGGTGACAGATAATACAGAAACAGCAAAAAGTAATGATGTCAAACATGAGGTTATCGAAGTTAAACTCAAGGAAGTAAACAATGATTCTGTAATAGAAAAGAAAGTTGAAGCTGGAATCCTCACAGCTACGGACAGCAATAATGCTTCTGATGGTGCATCAGATATAAAAGTGCAAGACAATTGCCAAGCAACTGAGCCTGGTTTAAATCCTCTTAACATCTTAGCTGAAGATGAAAAAAAGTCACTTGACAATGATGCCTTAGTATCAAAAAAGGTTATTGAGGGAGATGAGAAGCAACATGAATTATCCAGTGATAATACAGATACTAAGCCACTACCATCTGAAGGCGAAAAGCAAGATGATATAGAAAGTGTAAAGGAAACAACCAAGAAACTTTCTGCAGCTGCACCACCATTTAATCCATCCACAGTTCCAGTTTATGGCTCAGTTCCAGTTCCAGTTCCAGGTTTCAAAGATCATGGAGGAATTTTGCCCCCACCAGTAAATATTCCTCCTATGCTTGCAGTCAATCCCCGAAGATCACCTCATCCATCAGCAACAACTAGGGTTCCATATGGTCCTCGAATATCTGGTGGCTATAACAGATATGGAAACCGTGTTCCACGGAGTAAACCTATATTCCCCTCTGGTGAACAGTTTACTGATGGTAATCCCAATAGCCCTCCAAGAATGATGAACCCTCATGCCACAGAGTTTGTACCTGGCCAAACATGGGTTCCCAATGGCTATCCTGTGCCACCTAATGGATATATAGTTTCTCCAAATAGCTTATCTCCTGTATCTCCCGATGGTAATCCAGTATCTCCCGGTGGAGATCCTGCTCCACTAAATGATATCCAAGTCAATCAAGATGGGTCTGAAACTTCTCCAACCAGTTTAACAGTTTCAGCAGAAGTTGTATACATTGAAACCAATCTTGAAAACAAAAATCAAGCTCTGGATGAAGAAAATAAAGATACTTCTTCATCAGAAGTCAGTTCTGAAAAACAGCAGGTTGAGCAAAATCCTCAAGATCACCTATCTGCCACCGATGAAAATTGTCCTAAAATGGAAGAAAAGCCTGAAGACCTCAGCACCACCGCTGATTCTATCGAAGAAGATAAAGTAACCGACAAGGATGCAGCAGATGAAAATATGCCAAACAAGTGTTGGGGAGATTACAGTGACAATGAAGCTGATATAATTGAGGTCACAAGTTAAGTAATGGTTTGCTTTCTTTAACTGCACAGGTTTCATAGCTACCCAAATTTGATGCCAGGGATTGACTGGACTGAGTTCTTTGACCTTAAAAGCTGACAAGATTTGGTTACAAGTTAAGGAATTATAAGCTTTCTTTTACAGCACTGGTTTCATGTCCTACCCAAATTGGCACATACTGAAATAGTGAGTGAGGAGATTCAAGTTCATAGCCTGTTTTAGGAACGCGAGCATGACCATGGAAGGCTTTGTTGAGTAGCTATTTGTCTGTGTTTTAAATTGTTTTAATCTTTTTCTGCTATATTGTTTCCTTGTTAAAAATTGAATTGCAGTTCTGAGTTCATAATACTTTGACACCTTGTGACTGAAAATAAGGTCTCATTTTTCAGGCCTATGTTATGTTTTTCAAGTTGTAGCAGCAACTTTTGTCTGTGTATTCACCAATTTGTTCAAATTTCTATTTTGAAAAAGATTCTTCCAAACAATGACTAACAAAGTTCATAAGTAAAAATGCTGGATTATATCCTATTTTTTATTTTCATTAACAAATTGTCTTTGAATTATATCTGAATTGTTGAAGTATATTTTCATGGCTAGTCACTCATAGTAATATAAAAAACAGTTTTTGTGGCATTTAGAATTGCCATAGCAAAAGCTCATATCCAAGTGCTAGGATAGGGAATGAAGAATAGGAATGACACCTGAAAGTCCCATAGAAAGGAACAATGCTGCCATAAAGGGTCTGAAACGATAATGTGTTGTGTCATACTAATCCAGCTAATATGGATCAGTTGGATTTGAAGGAGAAGGGTGTATGAACCATGCAACCGTGTCTATTAGAGGAGGTCATGTATTACATCATGAATTTGACGTCTCCGACAAGGGTATGGTAGACATTAGGGAAGTGATTCATGTCCAAGTCTCTAACGAACAAGCTATATCTGAAATATAGAAATTATGACCTGAAGATACATGAGGTTTTTGGTTTCCATCAACACATAAACACTTTTAATCAAGTAGTTAATGATCTTCTGGAACATGATGTGAAAGTGGATGTTGAAGACAAGGGAATAATCTTATTGTGTTTTTTTGCCATATTCTTACTAACACTTTATGACAACCTCAATGTATGGTAAATATTCAATCTAAATGGATCTGATTGTGAATACACTTCTGTCACACAATTAAAGGAAACATAATACAGGTGAAAAAGGTCAAATCAGAGGTCGAGAGTGTGAGAGGAAACAAGTTAGAGGGTGTCATGTCGAGGGGAAATGATTAAAATCTAGAGGAAGACTACCACTACAATGATTTAAGTGCAAACAGACCGAACATCATATCGATACTTGTACCAATGAATGATGCACTAACAAAAAAATGTGAAATATGTATCATCCACCTTAGCATATATTTGTACAAACAAGTGATTTCAATTACAAAGTCAAAGTGCATATATGGGTGAATATTTGACATTGTTGCTCTCACCACATCATTCTAAATAGGGAATTGCTCACCACGTACAAGTCAAACAATTTGGTTTCTTGTATCTAGGATATAATAAAATCATGTGTCATTATTCACATGGGAGAAATCAAACTATGTTGGATGATGATGTTACTAAAACATTATGTGAGATTATTCACATTCTACGTCTATATAAAAATTTGATTTTTTTTAGAGACTTTACACACCAAAAGATTTTACTATAGAGCTAATGGCGCCGGTGATACTTCCCGAATATGAAATGATGTTCTTACTCTGATGAAACACAAGAAGATTGCAAGAAATAATTGAAAGATGTCAGAATATTGATGTATGTGGAGTTGCAATTATGAAGAAATTTCAGTAAACTCGCACCAAACTACAACACATGTGTAGCCGAAAAGATTGCAGGTTTGTCAACCTAATAGAGACAAACCTTACTCCCTCGTCTTTTTCGACTTTATCAGTTTGGTCCCTCAAAATTTGAAAAACCCAAAATGGTCCCTAAAAATTTCAAATGTGGGATAAACTAGTCTTTTTTAGGATCAAATTAGTCTCTATCAAATGTTGTAAAACATACTAAAATGAGAATTTGACCCACATTTAAAATTTTTGGGGACCATTAGGTTTTTCAATTTTTAAGGGACCAAATTAGAAAAATGAGATTGAAATAAATATTTACTCTTAAAACTATAGTCAACTAAAATAGAACAGTTTCTCAAAATATATATATATATATATATATATATATATATTTAAATTAGAAGTATAATTTATTACTTCAAAGTAATATTATTCTCATACACTTAAAAATAATAATGTAACAATATTAAGACAATCCTTCTTTATCTATTAGGACTAGCGTGTGTTGACAGATACTATTGTGTCTGTCAACCCGTTTTCCTATTATTTGTAATGTGTAGTCTACAAACGATAGAGAATTATACATCGAAATATAATTCCATAGAAGATTTACAACGGTGCTTGGCTAATCGTCATGAAATAATGAAATGTTTAATGAAGGGATGCATTAAAATACTAATGTCTTTGTCAACCTGATTTCCTATTATTTTTAATGTAGTATTTAAGGTCGCCACAAATTACACCATGTTTGTAAACTGCATTCCTAATTTTGTAATAATAATCGCACAAATCAATATATATGATATACCGAGTAATGAATTTTCTTTGATAAGATGAAATACCTAACAATTATTTGTTTTAGAGTGTTGCGCGAGTCAATTTTGAAGCCACAATGTCCCATTAAAGTGAACACTAAAATTGCTATATTTTTTTGGGATAATAGAATAGGTAATTTGATCGGTGTAATGAAATCTGTTAAAATAAATATGAAATGTGTACATGATTTACCATTCAAGTACCAAAAGTAGTTGGATAAGAAAAAGCAAAAAAACATTAAATTATGAAAGTAATGATGACATTATTCTTGATACTACACCTTATGACAACTTTGTGAGTGAAAAACAAATAGGGAAGAAATAGTGACTCTTGTGTAGAGTACAAAATATGACATGTTGAACTTATGACTCTCAACGGACGTGTGACTATTAAGAACCGTTGGGTTGTTCCTTACAATCCTTGGTTGTTAATAAAGTATGATTGAGCACAAACTTAAGACAATAAAATATCTTTAAAAACAATGTTCTTTGTAAAATCACCCTCCTCCCCTGGAATTGTTCATTCCTTAATAAGAATTTTCGTGGTAGATTATGAAATCCCTCTTGATAGAGCAACATATAGTTGGTCATGTCCAAACACATGTTTAGGAAGATAAATACCTACATGGGTAATGGTCTATCCTTGTGCCTTATTTATACTAAGTGCAAAACTTAATCGCACATGAGATTGCTTTCTGTTAAGAACAAAAGGAGTCTCATATTGTCTGATGTTTTAAGTTTAATCCTAGGCAAAAACCTTAAATCTGGACATCAGACAAATATAACATATGTCATTTATAGAGTCGGATAACCATAAAAACAAATTACAAAACAAATAAGAACATTAAACTTGTTTCATAAATTAAAACAGTAAAAATTGTAAAACATTTTTAGAGATTAGATGATAGTGCATGTTTCTGAGCATCATTTGAATTGCAGAATATATATGGATAAACATCATCATATCTCTTTGCATTAAAAATATTATAGTATTACAGTTTAAAACACAACGATTTTAGGTTAAAATTAATTCATTCATCAATATTTGTTGGTATATCTTTGTTTGATCATAGTTTTTTAGTGTAGTGAAATATGATATGTACTAACTATAGTAATACAAATAAACTAAAACAAAATGATTTTTTTTGCTCACAGTATATGTTAGAACTATTAAAACAAATTACCTTTGAAAAATTGTTTACGTAAGGATGACCTAGCAATTTAACGTATCGATGTCAATCTCATTGTAGTTGAAATATGTTTAAAATGGTTATGAATAGAACCTAAAATTACAACAAATTAAATTTAAATAAAAAATATTTTTATATTAAAATTACGACTTTAAAATGGGTAATTTTTGAAATGTTTTTTTAATTTAAGGAAACATGATATGTAAAAAAATGCAGTAATACCTATATTAGAGTGGCCGCTGTATGTTGTTTGAGGAAAATATTGTGCACATGTCATGGACATTATAGTTTCTTGGGCGTAGTGTGACCATGCATATTGTTTTGAGTTGATTGTGTTTCATTGTCATGCTTTCGTTCGTAGCATGTTAAACGCCTCCTTTGTAATTCTTGTTGTCTTTGTGCTCTATGTTCATGTTGTTCCTTCTGTGTCTAATATATTGCCTTAGTTTGTGTCGTCGTTGTTCTCGTGACTCATGCCTATGTGAATTTTCCATTCTCCATAATAAAACATTACATAATGTAAGATGTATGTATCCAATTATAAGAATGAAATTTTAGTGTTGTTGTAACTTAATGGTGATAAGAGATTTTAAATTGGTAAAAGAAGAGAGAGAAATAAAATATATAAAAGTAAGAGATGAGTAATACCTTAAAGTTGGAAGAAATTATTTTGTTGACCCAATAAATTATTAGTTCTAATGAAACAAATTTCTTGCCAAGATGAGTAGTAGTAGCAGTAATATCATAATATCATGCCGGTCCCCGATAGCATTGATATGCACAAATATATAGTTTGAATGAACAAAACAATAAAAACATAAGTTCTTGTAAGTTATTGCTTATTAAGAGATTTTAATTAAGGGTGACAAATGGATGGATTTGGATGAAAATGGATGGATGGAAAGTCATCCATCAATCCATATAAATCCATTTAAAACATATTTTAAATTATCCAATCCATTCATATCCAATGGATTATAATCTATCCAATCAATCCATGACTCCATTTTCATGGATTTGGATGAATGAATATCCAATTTGTGACTTCACATTTCTAAAAAGTACTTTAAAAAAAAAATTTAAAAATGTTTTTTTTAAATACTTTTAAAAAGGTGAACTTTTGAAGTTTTTATCTAAAAACTTAAAAGAGTAATAAACTTAAAAATTATTTTTTTAACCTTTTAATGGTAATCAAGTGAGGTTCAGGTTAGTGTTGTTAGAAAAATTTGACGTATATCATGAAATTCATAGATTCGTTTTGTTATTTCTCTTATTCTTCATTTTTTTAGTTGCTTACAAACATAAATTATATTTACCGAAGTTAAATTACATGATTGATAGATAATTGGAATATCTAATGAAGGGAATACATGAGAAATAGAATTGGGAAAAAATGTTAAACACTTAATGCAATTATGTGAATGTTAAGTGAAAAGAATGAATATATTGGAAAAAGAAACCTCCATAGATGAAGAAAACTAACTTTTGTTGAATGAATGCTTTTGCTAGAAAGGGTAATGCAACTTTTGAATGAATCATTTTGTTAAAAAGGAGTTTGCATGTGTGTTTTGAGAAAAAAATGTTTTTATTTTTTTTATTTTTTTGGATGGATTGAGTATCTATCCAAATAGATATATCCATGGATATCCATTGGATATAATGGATGGATTTGAATCCATCCATTATCAACACTATCCATTGGATTATATCTATTTAAATCCATTAGCTCTAATGGATGAATTTAACTTGGATGAATTTGGATGAATTATGGATTGTGGATAATTTTGCCACCCCTAATTCTAATTTTAATTTGTTTATAGAAGAGAGAAAAAACAAAAGAACAAAAAGGGAAGAGATGAGAAATACTTGAAAGTTGGAAGAAATTATTGGATCTATTGAAACAAATTCTAAGCCAAAATGAGCATAAACATGTTCTTGAAGTGCATAAAATGTGTAAAACTTCCAAAAATGAAATTGCATTGAAATAGAGTAAAAGTAAATTATTTTTGGAGTGTTGTTACCCATTAATTTTTGAATCAGTATTACTTACACATTACTATTTCATGTGCAGTATAGATTAGTGGATTAGTATTGCAATTAACGGTTTGAATTGCAGTTGAAAATAACATCCCGTTTTAAATGATCATTTCTTGCCAGTTATAAATTGCGTTCAAACTACTTTAATGGGCAGGATAAAATATTGAAAAATTCATGGCAATCAAGATGTACATTGGGTGGTTAATCCACTCAATTATATCTTAGCACTATTAAATAAATTCGGTGGTTTTGAAGTAATTCTTAACGTCCCATATTACCTTTTTATAACTTTTGTTTTGTAACTACTTCAACAAATATTTGGCTCCAATATTATAGTATTATTATTTTACTTTTTATTGCTGGTTATGATTTATTTTGATTTTGATTACCAATTTATAATATTATTTTACTCTTTTATTGTAGGTAATGATTTATTCCGATTTTGATTACCAATTTATAATATGTGATGAATAAATAGTGTGAATTAATAAATCATAAGTACACATATATAATTTATATAAAAATGATGGAATGTTTAAAAATAACATAGAATATGCATTGGGTGTAGAGAAATATTGGGTTATATATGGTTTTTTTAGTAGAAATTATAAAATAAAGAGAGCAAAATATGCAACAACAAATTACACCATGGTGAGTGGTTAACTTGGGTTTTAGCTTTATTAGTAACTAGTGTGTTTGTAATATGTATTTTACATATTATAAATGTTCATAATGATATAATGAATATTTCACTAAAATTATGTAGTAGCAAACTTAAATAAATAATGTTTATATTTATAACCTTAGGAGCAAATGGGTTAAAAGTTGAAAAACAAAATCTAATTTGGTTGTAGGAAATTCCACTCAATCTCTAATCCATATATGTATTTGTTTAATAATGATAGATACAAATGAAATTTATATATGAAGAGAATCAGTATGTTATCCTAAGAGAGTTCAAAAATTTGATAGAATACACATTTTATTACAGAAATTAGGAACAACAAGTAATGTCAATTCCTATGTAATTGAAAATATGTACCAAGGAAGCAAATAATTGTTTCAATACAACCATACAAAGATATAGTGGTCATATATGTTTGATCCTCTATAGGCTATAGGGTTGCAGTTTTCACTTTTCAATTATGTGTCATATGACCACTTATTTGTTATTAAATTTAAATGATTCTTTGAAAAAAACAATTATGTAGTATATGACCAAATTAATGTGAAGTTAGATATATGTGACAATTCACGCCAAAGAAAAGTGTGGCTATTGACATTTCTTCGAACAACATATAAGCAATGATAAGTGAAGAGGAAAATAATGATAACATTATTTATGAATGAAACTTAAGAAAATGTAAGTTAATTATACACACTTCAGAGAAAATACATCTTAAAACAGTATTTAGTGCGTACATGATAATATGTAAAACTTGTTGGAAGAGAGAATGAAGAAGAAATGAATGTAGAGCAAATGTGAGACGACTATGGAGGCCAACTTCTATATTCAAAATGTAAAATTGCTTCCCATCACTTTTTACCTGCAAAATGGAAAACTAAATATGTTAGAAGTTAATAATAAGAATTGAGTAAGTAAAGATTAAAATTGTGGAAATAAGAAATTGTGAAAGGTAATTAGAAAGGAACAACTTCTTTCTTCTATTCATGCTAATTTAGAGAGAGTGGTTATGAGAGAGAGGTTGAAGAGGTTATGAGAAAGAGTTTGAAGAAATGTTGTGGAAGTTAAAAAGCAAACATGAATTTACATTGAAATACTCATAAACTTATAGAAATATACATTATAAATGGTAAAAGGTAAAATAGGAAAACATAAATTACACTATGAGTAGTTAATTTATGTTTCCCTTTATAAGTAGTATAATATAGAAATATAGATATAGATATAAATATAGATTATAAATTTTAGTAATTTTCTAAAGCTCATGTATTTTAGGAAGGCTATATATATTTAATGCTTTGAAGTTATTTTAAGACGACTCATATGAGATCTTCTTCTTAATGAGTATTAATCTCATATTTTTCTCACTTCGGGATATACTAATATTTTAATTACACATAAATTAATATAAAATAATCATCATTACAACTAACAAACTATTGAACAAAAACATAACTTTTTATAAAAACAGTAACATACTTGTTTTTCCCCAGTAAGAAACATTGTATTAAGCAGAGCAAAGGGCCGCCCAATACAAGAGAAGATCAATAATTGATCCTTTTACAAGCTAAGTCAATATCAATACTTTGGATCAATACATTAATTTGTAAAAGTCAAAGTAGATAAAGTTACGAATGAGGATAATTAGATCCAATATATAGTCTAAATCCTACCTATCACATGAATATGGCTCACTTCTTTTTCGATAAAAATATATTCATTCACCTTATTATATAGATATAACATTATTTATACATGTAAAAATTTGAATCCCTGTTAATTATGACTCATCCGACCCTCTATATAGAACTAGACCCTCATTCAGTTAGTTGTCACTACCACCGCTAAAGCCATATATCACTACAACCGCTAAAGCCATATATCAAGGTTCATACTCATAGGAAACATCATAATAACAAAGGTTGCACTCACAAAATATAGTAAACTAGTACTTAAACTCGAACACTTAGGATATGTTTGGGAATCTAATTTTGGAGGTGAAGTGAAGGGAAAATATGACTTTTAAAATTCTCTCCCTTATTTGGGAGTTGGATAAAAG